CCCAACCACTAACTATCCAAACCCATTTACCAGATCCAACTAAATTCGGATCCCTAAGTCTCCAATTCATCTTCTTCTCCAACGCTACTTTCACCATTGTAATCTCCATTTTCTCATCACAATATCTCGAAAATCAAATGAAAATCAAATATTATTCATTTTATCATTCGTATACTATTTCATTATCATCTATTCATCACAACTCACAATCCAAAAATCTCATTTTTGGATAAAAGAAAAAACCCAGATTTTAACATGTTTAGTTTATCAAAAAAATTCTATCCTATAATCTAAATCAAATCAAAAAAATTTCTCTAAATCTTACAAATTTCTGTTCTTATCGCAGATCGATCGATTTCTCATCATTCTCAATTCATTTTCTCTCATATAAAATTGAATCTCACTTTCAAAATACAAAATTTCCGACAACGAAAAAGTATTACTGGTATAACTAGTACAACTGAAACTGGTATAACTAGTACAACTAAAACGTGTATAACTAGTATAACTAATATAATTAGAAAAACTAGAACGTATATAACTAGTATAGTTTTACAAGTAATATGGTTACATTAGGCTTTTGTTTGAGCTTTTAAATGATGTTGTAGAAGAAGATGATGTAGAATCAATGAAAATGTTGGTTTAATCTTATCAAGCATGAATATGTCAAAATATATTAAACCTTTTTATATAATATTTGGACTAGTGGTTTTACCAGTTGTATTACTAGTACAACTGAAGCAGATGATGAATAATCAATGAAAATGTTTACATGATTTGTCTGGTTACTATGTTTTGTTGTAGATGATATAGGACATGAGTGATGCCATATCGGTTGAGGAATCAACTAAGGAGGATTGTAAGTGCAAGAAAAAGCTTGAGAATGATGCAGTTGAAAATGATGGGGCAGTTGGAAATGAGGAGGAGACAACTAGTAAAACTACTCATCTTAATATTCAACTATAATGATTAAAACATGATACACGTTAAAACATGATGCACAATACAAGAAGAAATAACATAGTTGCACTAGTATTATAGTTGTACTAGTTTGTACATAGTTGTACTAGTTTTTGAGTTATACCGATTTGTACATAGTTGTATTTCGGCAGTGAAATAAAAAAAAACTAGTTGTACCACATAAAATTTAAACTTACTTCAGTTGTACCATTTCTTTATGTGTACATGCATATGCCCTAATACAATGAAATCACCAGTTTTATTAAAATACATTTCATGTATGTTTTCCAAAAGTTATGTGGACAAAGAAGTTGACAAACCTTAAAAATATAAGGTAGACTATGCAAACTTATATGATTGTGTTATAATTACAAAAAAAAAAAATATAGCTAATCTAATTAACAAACCTTTAAATATAAGGTATGTAATGTAAAACTAATGTAACAATATAATAGTTGTAAGAGTTTTTGAGTTGTATCGGTTTGTACATAGTTGTACTAGTTTTTAAGTTGTACCAGTTTGTAAATAGTTGTACTAGTTTTTGAGTTATACCGGTTTGTACATAGTTGTACTTTGACAGTGAAATCAAAAACACTAGTTGTACCACATGAAATTTAAACTTATCTGAGTTGTACCACCTTTTTATGTGTATATATGTCTTCGCCCAATACAATGAGATCATCGATTTTGTTAAAATGCATTTCATATATGTTTTCCGAAAAATATGTGGACAAAGAAGTTAACAAACCTTAAAAGTATAAGGTATATCATATAAACTTATGGAGTTTTGTAATAACTTTCAATTTTTTTTTCAAAACTTCAAATATATTAGGAGAAAAAAATCTGACTACATACCACTTTGGATGTTTGATAGTGTTCTCATATGGAATACCAAATTGGCTTGCCAATTTTTGAAATGTCCAAGTTGTACCAGTTGTACCAATAATACTCGTTTAATATATAATAAAAAATTATAACAATTATATCAATTGTTTATATGTTTAATTTTAGAAGTTGTACCAATATTTTCATAATAATATAGCTAATTTACTTAACAAACCTTAAATATAATATATGTATATATATAATGTAAAATTAAGAGTGCAATGTAATAATTTAACAAAAAATTAAAAACTTCAAATAAGATAGATGAAATTTTGTCATCATATACCAATTAGGATATATGTTTGTTCATTTCATATGTAAAACCTGATTATTAGTCGTTTCAATTATAATAGTTGCATATTGTACATGAATTATAACATTTATATATTAGTTATACTAGTTATATAACATGTTTAGTTATACGAGTTATACTAGTTGTACCCAGTTTTCTCTTATCATCTGACGGTTCAGATTACATCTCGCATTATCTAATCTAATGGTTTACATTGAACTCTCATTAATGGTAAAATAGTCATTTTACATCCTTTGGTCCATGATAGATTTTTTTTGGATGTTATAGATTAGGTTTGGGTGTTTTGTCCCATAATAGATTTTTGTCCTATATCGTGTCTTATGAGAACAGTAAGTAAGATTAAGCAATGAGTAAAACCAAACTAATCTTTGTAAGAACAAAAAAATGGTACTTCAGGGGATCATTAAAGTAGGATAACTAAATAATAGTGACATTAGTTTTGTCTGATGGTGGAGACAAGATAATGTTTCTTGAACCCCTTAGAAGACGTGATGGTTGTCTCTTGAATCACTTGAAGGTGCGATCTTTATATTGTGTCATGGTTTTCTGACTCTGTTTCTGTTTTATATAGTTGACCTAAAAAGGTTGAAATCTTTTGGTTTAAAGATTTTTCTAGTTTGAAGCTATCTGATTTTTTTGCAAATGAGATCACATGTCTCTTTGCTGAATACTTGTATATTTGTTAAGGCCGTTTATGTAACATAGAGAAGTAGGAAATCTGACTACTTTTAACTCAGTGGTAGAGTAACGCCATGGTAAGGCGTAAGTCATCGGTTCAAATCCGATAAGGAGCTTTTACTTTCTTTAAGAATCATTTTTTGATATAGATCCTAACGCCAAAGAGTTGTACTAACTGGTAATAGATCTATAGGCTAAATGTGGAGTTGAATACTTCCAAAACAAATTAGTGGCTCACACTGCTTTATAACCTTTTCTTAACTTAACTCTATGGCTAAAATTGGGTGGTTATGTTCATAAGGTACCCTTGTATGTTGGGATAAAGATGACTTCAATAAGAAGAGCATCGGTCTTAGTGGCATATCCAGATGGTTATGCAAAGGCAGCACTGCGTTTTGTAGTAGGGTATGAAGCACAATGCACACCTTACTGGCCTCACGTCTTCATGGGTTATATTGTCTCCGCATTATTCGAGAACATCTTTGATTTTACTTAACAAAATGTGTGTTTCTTTTTTATTTATGATGTTTGTAATTGTTTTTTTGTTGCAACTTTTTAATTTTATGATGTTTTCAATTTTAGTGTTATATGTTTTAGTAAAAATTTATCTTTTATATCATTAATTATTAAAATAAATAAGGACTCACAAAAGTGCTACTACCAATAATCTATAGTTTTGCAATTGTCTTTAATTTTATCGTTAACATAAAATTAGTAATAAAATAAGATAAAGACTCACAAATTAGTCTTACCAATAATGTTGCCCTTAAAAGGTTATCTTTACAAAGAAGAAGAGTTCTTTTTTTTTTTGCCACTAAATTGGTTTTATTAAAGATCAAATGGGCCATGCCCATGACCAAAGCCATGATACACCACTAAACTAAACAACAAACCCACAGAACTGACGGGCCAAAAGAAAATGGCCGAAGCTCAACTAGTGACAAAGACCCAAAGCCCAAACAGCTATGTCGGTGGTTTCCCTAAACGTATGTCAAGGAAGCGTGGACGTGTTGCACGTGAAAAAATCTGGCTCATCCGCTCGTCACGCGCCGCCCGCCTCGACCTGAACGCCCCATCCTCGCACAGCCACCGACACCTCCCAACATCAGTCCGATTCGCCGGAGTTCCGATATTACAGAGCCTCCGCGAGACCATCGCTCTTCTCCTCTGCTTTGTCTTCTCGTCGGAGAGATCAATCGTATTAACGAGATCTCCTCCGTCTCTGAACCACCGGAAACCCTAGACAAGCAAACCAAGAGCCATCACTATCCTTCTCTTCTCCCTCGTTACCGTTGCCGGAGAGCTCTTGAAGCCTCATCCGCTTCGACCCACGATACTAACTCTGACTCCACGAAACACAAAAACTTTCATAACTTCGAACCAGTCACCACAAACCAAACCCAAAAGCCATCGGGTTCCACAACGACAATGCGGAGCTTTACGAGCCTCCACACTCCGTGAGCAAAGACGGCAAAGAAGGAACTGACTGAGCTCCCTCTTCCCGGAAAACTAAAGCGACGTCGATGGAGACTAGATGACCTCCACCCCCCGCATAAAGACCGGCGTCGATGGATCTAGGAGAGCTTCCACCTTCCGGGAACAAGAACCGGCGGCGATGGAGCTGTAGAAGCCTCCACTTCCCGGCGACAAGATTAGACCTAACAAGACGACTCCACCGCGTCCCCACCTCCCCACAACCGCACTTTTACTCCATAAGCTTTTTGCACCGTTGATGTCGCTTCATTTCTCGAATTAGCAACTCCGGATGTGGGCTAAACCGGAGGTCGGGCACGGCGGCTAAGGAGGGGAACGAAGAGAAGACCACAACGTGGATGTTTTCACCAAAGAACACAGCCTCCGGCGGTGACACGCACGCTCACCCGCCGGCCGCTCGCCGGAGCCAAAGAAGATCTACTTTACTTTCTCTCTCACCAATTCGTTCTACAAAGAAGAAGAGTTCATATACCTATTTCTAAGTTGTAGATATAAAAATTCACAAAAAAAAAAACAAAACGTTACCATGAGTGAACAACAACCAAAAATAAAAAAATCAAACGCCAATAACCAAAAATAAATAAATCAGTGAACAATCTCGAAACGTTACCTGTTTTCCGAGTTTCTTTCTTCTTCATAAATTGGACAACAATAACCAAAATTAAATAAATCAGTGAACAATCTCGCTTTATTGAATAACTTAATTAACAACAAGATGATGTCGAAAATAACCAATGCTTACAACGATAATTTTCGTAAAGTACAAAACGAAACATCGATCCTAAACATTGTTAGCGTTTCACTCAAAACTAAGATAGGATTTGACCATTGATTCATTGAGAGACAATTCATCGAACACTTAAAAACAAAACAAAATTCACATAAACAGAAACGACTCGATCTTAAACTAAATCCTCTGCATCCCTCCTCAAGCTCTCTCACCTCTGATCCTCCTCGCAAGCTGAATATCCTTAGGCATAATCGTAACCCTCTTCGCGTGGATCGCACAAAGATTCGTGTCTTCGAACAACCCCACGAGGTAAGCCTCCGCCGCCTCCTGGAGAGCCGCGACTGCGCTGCTCTGGAAACGCAGATCCGTTTTGAAGTCCTGCGCGATCTCGCGGACAAGACGCTGGAAGGGGAGCTTGCGGATCAGAAGCTCGGTGCTCTTCTGGTACTTCCTGATCTCCCTTAGCGCAACAGTTCCGGGACGGAATCTGTGGGGCTTCTTCACTCCTCCGGTGGCTGGGGCTGATTTTCTCGCGGCTTTGGTCGCGAGTTGCTTCCTTGGTGCTTTTCCTCCGGTGGATTTTCTTGCTGTTTGCTTGGTACGGGCCATTTGTTGGTTTGTTTGAGAGTAGAGAGAAGGTTTTGATTCTTGTTTTTTTGTTGATGTGTTAATGTGAAGGCTGGATTGATTTTTATATAGAAGCGAGACGTTTGTTTTTGTTCGTTGGATCTTTGATCTTATTGACGGTTATGATTGTTTTGGGTTTAGTGATCCTCGTCATATGTAAACCAGCCAATCATGTAAGCTTTCGTTGGCGCTGAGTGTTTTTGTAGTTTGTTTAAGATTTTTCAGTTTAGGCGCGTGTTTCAAAATTTTATTCTAGGTTTTGGAATTCTAAAATATAAGCCTCTTTGGTTCAAGCCCAACTTCTTAGGTCCGCTTAAGTCACATAACAATCCACAAATGTTTTGAGTTTGTTTCTCAATTTTAGTAAATACAATACAAAATAAAATACAAAATGTTATACAAATGGGAGAATTTTTTTTTTGTCAACTGGGAGATTTTTTAAAGGGCTTATATGACTTAAAATTACCATTTATTCCTATGTCCAAATACGTATCAAAAAGTTTTTTTTTTTTTATCAAACTTGCATTCATATCATGAAATAAGAAAGTTACTCCACATCAAGAGGAGAGTTTACAAACATACTAAGAGTAGTTTTGGCCAAACCATCAGCACAAACATTGCCCAAACGTGGTGTAAACAAAAAGGAGAAAGATAAAAGAGAACTACTCAACACGCGAATGTCGTGGAGGATCCTTTGGAGCTCGATAACAGAAGAATCCGTAGTGAGTTGAGAAATGAGACTTCGAGAGTTTGACAGGCACTCAAGTCGAGGAAGCCCATTTGGGTTGCTGTCGTTAAAGCTGATTTCAAAGCTAGAGCTTCAGCCATTAACGCAGAACCGATGAAGCCCCAAAAAGTTCTTTTATGATTCTAAATTTCTTTTTGTTTTAAAAGGAGCGTAGAAGTCTATAGTGCAAAAGTATAAATTTGGTCCGTCGCAAAATTACATGTGCATTATTGACAAGTAGACTGCTGAGTAGTTCTACATATAAGCTTAGACATATAAAGAAATTTATTGTTACGATACAGACATACCATGTTAATAGTTATATTTTCTGGTGTACATTTGTTTCTAAAGTTTCCATTGTCCAAAATTCAAATATCTGTAAAATAAAATTTGGGTTAACATTTCTTAGTCAACATCACTAAATATGAAAGTTGCGTGTTGAAAATAAAAGTTATAACAACTTTTGTAGATGAAAGTTGAGAAAAAATGAGATAAACAAAAATTGTATTGATGTCGTGTGAGAAAAAAAAAATAATTGTTGTGAAATAAAGAAGAAGGTTGTAACTCTGTATATCTTATTCATCACGTGCACATACATATATATACATACAAGAGAATAAGCATATTCCTTAGGAGATAAGGATTACAACAATAAAGGGGATGATTATCCTAATCCTATAATGATTAGGATAACTACAACATATGGATAAATACAAGGGAGGATAGTGACTGAT